TTTTTTTCTTTGCTAATTAAAATGAATATGTGAAGTGTTTTTCTTATTTGCATACCCGTAGTGCAAGTATTAAATCGTTCCTTCTTTGGTTAGTTTATGTTTATACTAAGGTATTTCTGCAGAGAAAATGAATCCTTTTAAATCTGTTTACGTATGTAGATAAAATTGTAATCCTCTTTAAAGTAGCATACAAGTTGCTGTTGCGTAAACTTATTTCAAGATAATGATTTGAAGGAATTTACGGCTGTGAAAGCTCTACAGCTAGGCGGAAAATTATTACATACTTTCCCCTCACTGGCTTCAAAACAACTACCTACTTCAATTTCTTTAATAAAAATGCTTAGTAAATTTCGGGCGTTTTGGAGCTATGTATGTAGCTATGTGGGTGGGGTGATCCGGTCAGCAGCGATCGTTGGATTGTCAAAAATGAGGTATCAAATTAATGCGCTTGGCCTGTGAATGTGCGGAAGGGATTTATTTTTTGAAAAGGATTGCCAATCTTTAAAAAATTTAATTAAAATTATTTAATAAGTGAAATAAATTATTACAATATGGGTGTCAATGGTAGTGGGTGAAAAGGCATTATTTCTAAACTTTATGTAAGAGGGTTGCCACCTGTTTGAAAATCGAATTCAACATTAATTAAGGGAAATATGTATCACAATATGGTTGCTAGGCGAAAGCGGTTTTTAAAAGTTTTTTTTTAATATTTTGAAGAGAGTTGCCACCTATTTGAGAAAAAAGTGCAATTAAAAAAAATATAAACAATAATAAAATACGAGTGGCAAACATAAGAAAGTTAAGAAAGATTTAGTTTGAACATTTTAAATATGCTTGAGGTGTTTAAAGAGAGTTGCCACCTGTTTAAAAAATGTAATTTCAATTATTTATTATTTAAATAAATTACTAAGGATGGATACCAATGGAGGTGAGTTTGAAATGGCTTTATTTCTAAACGATATGTAGAAGGGTTACCAACTGTTTAAACAGTAAAATTCAACATATGTATTTCCTCATTTATTTGAAATATTTATGTGTCACAATCTCAAACGAAAGAGTTTTTAGAAGTTTTTGAGGTTGCAACCTATTTGGAAATTCAAATTTAGTGCAGTTATATACATGTTTTTTTTTAAGATCTTGGAAGAGAGTTTGACACCTGTTTTAAAAATAAGATTCGAATTAATGCATAAGGTAATTGAAGTACATACCAATGTATCACAATATAGGTGTCAAACGAAAGCGGTTCAGTTTGAATATATTTTCGAAGCAAATTGCCCTCTCTTTGAAAAGTCGAAAATAAATAATATTACAGAAGTTATCCGAAATATTTCCATATTGACGACCAGAAAAAATTTCTTTTAAAAAAACTCTAGTTTAAAGGTATTCTTGGTTAGGGACGACATCCACTACATAATGAATTGGTTTGATGCAAGAACAATTTTTCGTAATTTTTGAAAACTTCTCCTGCTATGTGCATTTTCCTGACCAGTGATTTAGCGTTTTAACGGCATACGGGTTTGCTAATTTTTCATACATTCCAACCACACCCAATGGCGCTTTAAGCATTTGAAACTTGAAGTCATGAAAATAATGGGGTGAGCTAAAACTTCTTTGCGGTTTGGTTTCAATACGAGAAACATATTTCTTTAGTCTGCACTTACATTTTATGCGCACTCAAAGTTATGAAAAAACATATTGCATATTTTTTTTTTCTTTGAAAAATGTTTACATTCTACCTAAATCACGCTGCCATTCAGAAGTGCTTATGTATTTATGCAATTAAGTGCTTAGCAAACTTACTTTGATTCGCAAATCCACTATGGCAAGTTATAAAAATGTGCAATAAACTGTTTTGCAACATAGTACATAAATTACATTTTCTCATTTCCTTGTAATTTCCCTGCTGTGTGCCAGCAGCCAACAACTTTGTGTGGAGAAAAAGAGCGTAAGAAATAAAAAAAAACAAGATTTAGAAATAAATAGTCGCAGTAGCAAGCGCATAGAAAACACACACACACAACGGCAACCAACATAAACTCTGCTAAGCTTAAAGTGGAATTAAAAGCGGCAAGCAGAATGCTTTGAAAGTCATACATACTAAGCCAAGCACTTCTCTTGCAGGAGAGCGAGCATTAAACAAAGGAAAGAAAAACCGTACATGAGCAAATAAGCAAAGTTCAAGCGAAAGTTCAACTGTTATGAAATAAGAAATTTGAGTAGAAAAAAAAAACGGAGACCAAAAACAAAAAATACAAACAAAGCGATAAAAAAGAAAACAAGCGAAACTGCCTTAAAATATGCAACAAACTTTTAGTTATTTAATGCTTACTAAGTAATCGTCATAGTTTAAGTACATATTCTATTAAAGTACAACAACAATGAGTGGCGTTGGAAAAAATGCCAGTTTTAATTACTTAGCCAAAAGGGGTCTAATATTGCAAATTTAACAAATGAAAGTGATAAATAAACAAAATAAAAATTTTTAGCAAAAAAGTTTCAAAGCACGCAAATCATTTCTATAAAAAGTGAAACCATAATATTAGCAAATAAATTTTTTAGTGAAAATGGTACAACAAAAAAACTAAAAATAATAACTAAATAGAGAGGAACAACAACTTTCATATTTCAGCTAAACATAATTTGAAGAAAGTGAAATCAAACGTAGACAAATAAAATTTATTTAAGCAAAAGCTCACAAAGTAACTAATAATTGATTTACACAAAATAGCCAAGCTTTTAATAAAAAAACTTAAAAAAAAAACAAAAGAAAATTAAGCAAGCCTGCGTTGGAGTGCAGTTTAACTACGTATTTTCCACTACTAACACAATATTTATAATACTCTGAAAACAAACACAATCAATATTTGCTCAATTAAACCTAGAAATAAATAAATAAATGAACACAACAACAAGTAGGCATAAAATAATCGAACGCTAAAATAAGCCACAAAAATATGTATTTAATTTATTTTAATGAAAGCACGCAAGAGTTTTACAAAAAAAAGCTGAGTAATAAAAATATTTATTTGAAAAAAAGACAAAACAAAAAAATATTAAATAAATATGAACAATGAGTTGAGCTGCAAACAATTTTCAATGAGTTCAATTAGCGGCTAAAAACTTTTTCAAGCATAATAATTTGTATGGAAAGCAATGCAAATCAAATGACAGAATCAGACAATAGCGCGAAAGCAATGCAATAAATTTGACAAAAAAAAAGTTGCAATAACGTCAGTGAAGTATGTATGTATGTATTTACTAATCTAAATACAAGCGCGTCTATGTATTTTAAAACCACTGAATTAAATAAATAACAAACAAACACTGCACGCTAAAATGGAAGTAGTGGTATTAAATTATTTTGAATAAAATTGAAAAAAAAACAATTTTTTTTAATCTTAAAAAAGAAACCAAATTATGAATGCAAATGAATTTTAGCAATGAAACAGCGGTGGCACAATTTCTTTCGTTGAACTAACTAGATAACAAAAGCGCAGACAAAAAATTAAAAAAAAACTGCGTAACATGATAAATAAAACGTAGGAAAAATAAAAATTAAGAAATAAAACATTAACAAAACATCTTAATTTTGTATATTAAAAACAAAATTCAAAGCAATACTTACCGATTGGAGCAACATTTTTATTATTCCACAAAAAATCCGCGTGAAAGTTATAATAAACGTAAAAATTAAAAAACGTCAAACGAAAATTCACAAAAAAATTTTTTGGCTGTCAAATCTACTCTACAGCACTTTTTACACAGCGCGCGCTTCACTCTACATACCACACCACCCTATTGTTAACACCATAAACACATCACCGCGCCCAGCCATTCGCCAAAAGTACGCACGCATCCGCCAATAACCATGCAAATTTTATGGCCTGTCAGTTTGCGTAAACAATGGCCGAAGTAAAAACACAGCAGCAACTAATAAACAAAAAAATAAAACCACGAAAACCTAGAAAAATTTGTAAATCCAATTTTCCGACAACTATAAACAATACAACAATAAAGGTTATTAAATACAACCATACAACAACAGCAGCAATAAAAAATAAAACATAAGATAAAAACCACAGCAATCATAAAAAAATTGCATTCTTCATTTGCGGCATCTCCGTAAAATGCCAATAGCCACCAAAATCGCCACAAAGCAGTATTCACAGTTGCAGCAACAACAACAAAATCAAACCGCCGTCATGGTGTTGACCGCATCTGATGACAACAATTCAACAACAACGCATGCGAGCAGCAGCCACAGCAGCACGACTACAACCACAGCAACAGCAACAACAGCTAATAATCCACATGCGCATGCCGCCACCGCCGCCGTCAATCTGAACAACAGCAGCGCTGCCAACTTTAGTGGCGGCATCTTATCATTTCCGCCACTACAACCGCCACCACCTCCACCGCCCGCTTTGAGCAGCGGCAATCTGAGCATACTGAATGGTAGCATTGGCATTGCCAGCGCTCATGCTCATCCGTCGTCGCACACGTACGGCCATGCACCGAGCGCTGTCATGACCAGTGCCACCGCTGCCGCTTTCGCTGCGCACGCCAACATCAACGCTGCCATGAGCAGCAGCAGCAGCAGCAGCACCGCCGCCGCCAACCACTATAATATGCCGACGTACGCTAATATAACAGTAATACCTTCGAATGTTGCCGCCGCCGCCGCCGCCGCCGTCTCCAACGTCCAGGCAGCAAATGCTGCCAACGCCAATGCGCCCATCGCCGTTTTTATGGGCAGCGGGCTGGCAGGTGGTGCAGCAACAGCAACGAGTGCTGGTAGAGGTGGTGGCGGTGCAATTGGTGTGGGGGCCAATACCAATGACAACAACAACAATATGGATAATACAAGCGAAGAATCGAATGCAGTGACAATTTACAGGTAAACGGTGAAGTACGGCACGTACACACACGCACACACTGTATTGCTGTATTGCAATGCAATGCATTCAACTGCCACAGTTATTTCAGGCAACAAATTATTTTCATTGTTGCCCACAATTCAATTGCGCTACACATATGATGACGTCGTTAAAGTCGTTGCTTAACCAGTTCAATGCAATTTGAAAAGTTATCTCTTTCTTATCTCTCAATATCCTTTCGGTTGTATGGCTTGCTGAAGCAATCGATTAATTGCAGTCGTGCATACGAAATGCTATAGCTTGAGACAATTTTAATGGTTGAAACCATTTGTATTCATTCACTTCAAAACGTGGAAATATCAGTGTGAGCAAATGGTTGTGTGTTGCGTCGTCCCCGCAGGAAAACTTGAAATCATGAAATGGTGAGGTTACGCTTGAAATTTTTCACTGAAATTTGAATTTGGTCTTAAAGTTCATTTCCACAAAATCCTTAACTGCAGTTTATGCCTATTGCAACAAGGAGATTACAACTCGAAAGGAAAAGCAAAAACTAATAAACAAACCTTGCCGCTCACCAGATATTGAAATTCTTGGAACCCATCTGAGCTCTTCGCTGCAGTTAAGCCTCTGGTGGAAATAGGCTATTAGGCTTCCTATCTGCACCTAATACCCCTCTAAAGAGTGTCGAAACAAGAACTGATACAGCTGAGGTCAAAATCAACAGCGATAAGATAGTATTTATTAAATCTATTTCTACAGAAACAAGTGCGAAAATTCTGGCCAGATAGGCTGGAGAAGAGCCAGCTAAAGAGAGCGTTAACTTTATGCATAATACCTTTAAAGCTGAAAAACTAAACTAGAAAACTAGACTTCGCCGGTTTGGAATCCCATTTCATTTCCAGCCGGGATGACGCCTTTGGCACTGCGTAATAGTCTAGAGGTTAGACATTTTTCTTTAACTTCTTCTTCGCAAGTGCCAGTCGTTCCTCCTTCTAGCTAGCCGGTAGTGATGTGCGGTTCCGAGTAATTAAATAACTAGTTCTGTCGAGTCCGGTTCTAAGAAGAACCGGGTATTTAGACTGAGTAACGTTTCCATTAAATTAAGATAATTTTTTCGATGTTGCCAGGCTGATATCTTCATATTTAGACTTTATGCCAAGACAACTGACACAGCCATGTGGCTTAATCTTTCTTCTTATACTGGGCATCAACCAACTTTTTCCTTTCATGATGGTGATGTCAGCCTAAGTCTTCTTGAGAATATTACGTGGTAGGGCAGAGGCAGCTTCCCCTTTATGGGTCCAGAAATTTCAGGTGCATGTTCTTTTGCTTTAAACGTTCGCCGTGGTCGTCATCAAAATAAGACACTCTCACTAAGGTGGGGTGGCGGGTCCCAAGACCAGCGTACAACCAAAACCTGGGAAAATTTTCTGAATGCCCTTAATAAATGAGAGATCTGCCCAAAAATATGTATCGGCTCTTGAAGAACTTGTCACTCATGCAGACGATTTCATAGTGCATCCCTTAGGTTTTAAGGCACGCTTGTTACACGGTGCAACAATTTCAAGGCCATTGTCTGGGCCGGAATGACCGCCTCAGGATGAAAAACCTAGACCGGTTTAGTAAAACCTCTAAATCTTTTGGCATTCGCGGATAACAATTTTTTAGTGGTAATATTAGGTATGCAATTTTTTTGCCTGACTAAGTGGAAAAAAGTTAAAATTCATATTGGAGCAAAAGATGTAGCCTGGGTACATATAGTAGTAGCATACTAGAGGCATTTGCGAGGTCGCTAGAGGCTTAAATCTTTATACAAAGAACGTAGAAGTCCACATCGGACGTTATATGTTACTCAGATTATGGTGATAGCGATACTGATGACCCAAGCTCCGGACCATCAGCATTGAAAGGAGCTATAGTTATATTAATGAACAAAACATAAACTATATATTTCGTATAAAGATTTTACCTTAAAGTACCCGTAGTAAAATTTTCGGATGAATAAACAAATATGAGAACATTTTTAAAAAAAGGAACAAAACAACGCTTTCGTGAGAGAGCTAATTCCTTGCGAAATTTTATTATATTTACCTAAACTACATATGTACTTCGACCAGATATAAATTTTAACCTCTTTTCCACTTAATCTAAAAATAATGATCCAAAAAAATTGCAAACTTAACATGGCCGTAAACAAATTAGGTCTGCAAATCCAAAAAAAAAATTGGAGATTTTACTTCATCGATCCAGGTCTTTCATCCTAAGTTGGAATCATTCCTGCCGCACAAAACGCTGTTGAATTGTGTTATTTATTTAAATGCAATAGTGCGATGCAAATACAATTTTGTACCCGTGGGTGTTATGTTCGTTTAAACACGATCTACTGCTATAAATACTATATAACTATATATATCTATATATTGCTCTCATAATAACCCTTTACAGTGTTATAGACACTTTTAAATTAAATAAAAAACGCTATTTCGAAATATAAAACTTAAGCAAAATCAAACATTGGCAAATTGCAATATTATATATGTATGTAGGACCCACAAGGTTGCCACCAACGCTTGTCAACTTACCAACATTTATTGGCACGCATTTCTACGGCCAGCGACCAAGCTTCCTGTGACAAAAATTTAAAATGTAAATTAAAACGATGCCGCCAATGCCAACGCGGTTACAATTATTGGCGTTTTAACTACTTTTGCTGGCAACAGCAAAAATTTGCCTACAGATTATCATGGGCCTGTTACACATACAAGCGGTCTGACCGTGTAGAGGGCATGTAGGAGCGAATGGAGGTACATCTGTGTAGCTGTTGCGATGTGTACATCCCATAGTTCCCCACCACTAATGAAGTTGTAGCAGGCGGGCGACATTGAGGGTTACATTAAGCACTTGCCATTGTTGTGCGATTTCAGCATTATGACAACAAAAAAATTAAAATAGTTGACTGCAACTAAAAATGGGCAGAAGCTTTATTACAAAAACAATATCAGATATGTCTAGTGTGCTGTATATGTACAGGTGTATGAGTGCATGTGCGCAATTAAAACAAGTGCAATTACCAACGTAACTGTAATTACTTTTGCTACTCGAAATCCAGTCAGTACTCGTAGAAGTAAACTGCTTTGCAGAAAATAATTTTAATAAAATAAAATGCATTGGTTGTATGTAGTAAAAAAACAACGATAATAATAACATTAGCTATCATTTGAAGTAAAGTGCTGGGACTTGCGAGTATGTTCATACATATTTCCAACAACAACAACGAACAACATGCTGTTGTCCAGTCCTGCATTTAAAGTAGTTAAATTATTTAAAAATCAGAGTTTGCCACAGAAGCCATTTTAATGCTTCGTTAAACTCTACTTCTACTTACATATACTTACATATACATACATATCCAGCAAGTGTGTTTGTATGGGTGTAGGCTTTAAACTGGGCCAGCAATGTAGAGAACTTTGTGGTTGCAACATTTACGCATCTCCGCTCGTGTAAACGTTTATTTGCATACAAACACACAAGCAAGCTAGCGTAAATATATATCTGCATATGTAGAGTGAGTGGGAAAATGCATGTGCATCAGAGACCTGCTTTGATTACTAATAAAATTGGTGTACTTATTTATGATCCATAAAAATTGGTGGAAATGAGTACTCATACTTATTCAAAAAAGTACTATGAATATTTCCCACCAAAACAAGAACACACTCAAGATATACTTACCCTTATTCGTGCGGGAAATTTTTGTCTCTAACGAGTATAGTCTGCCAGTTCGATTTTACGTTCGATTTTATGATTCATTTCAGTAGAACAAATTTGTTTAGTGGCTCAGTGAGAGAATCGCGCACTACACAGGTTTAAAACCCTGCATTGAAAAGCTTAACTAATACGCACAAATTCCAGTTCATGAACAATTGTTTAAGGACAGAAGTCATACTAGTTCGTTATGAACTATAATTATACCTGTTTTCTGCACTGAAAGGTCAAACTAGTCAGTAAAAAACCAGTTAATTAACTAGTATTTGCTAAAGCGACGGTCTACCATTTCGACAACTTCGAACAACTTATCAGCGACATCTGTTTTTTACTAGTGGCTTTCCCTGCAGGGTACAAACAGAGAACTTAGTCATTGTACATACTCGAGCTTCGTGTGCCGTGCGTAAAGGAGTATAAGTGAATATGAGTGAATATTTTTCTATGACTAATATCCACTAATACTATTTCTTATGTTATTCAACCAAGGTATTAAAAACACGAATAATTGCAGTTCCCTGATGTGCATACATGCTTACACACATACAAAGTCGTATGTAGCACTAAAGTTGCAAATTGGTGAGTAAACTGTTTTTTATGTGAAAAGAGTCAGCTGGATTACTTGTTGGAATTCTGTTTGGGAAAATTAAAGGCTTGTGGCTATTTTGCGAAAGTTATAAAAATAAAAATATATGACACATGCATATGTATGTACGTGTGGTCATTTCCAGGGTTACAGAGTCTTATTGGAATTTCATCACATTTAAAAGCTTTATTTTTCCATTTTTTTCTAAATTAGCGAAATCGTGATAGAAAGCTCAATAAAACCTTTGGAAAAAGCAAAATGACACAGGGAAATCAGATATCTACTTTTTTGTTTTGGATAGCCATTATCCTTATTCATCCAACAGCTGTGAATATAATTTCCAAATATACCTATTACATATGAGGCGCATCTAATCAAAAGGTGATGTTTCTATTCCTGGTAATTTTTTAGTTTTTTGTTAAACATACTTTTTAAAACTACACAAACTTGAAAACCCGCGAGAAATGATATTATTACCAGTAAATTAACCATCCCTGGCTAGGTTATGCGGGCCGCTCAAGTTAAAGAGTTCTCTCGGGGCCGCAGAGACCGTTACGATGTCAAAAGAGACGATTTTTCACACTCGTCCCTCCCTGTCTTCATGTCACCGCATAGGAAGTGCTGGATGAAATTGTTCAATTGGGCTACGCACATGACAGCCATATGGGCAATTGTCCAGAGTCCACCTGATATTTTTTGTAGATTTTGAAAGCTTTGCTAAACTGCGTTTTCTTCGAGCATCGAGCAGTATCTAAATTGGGCGCGATTCAATACATGTATGCAGATTATTTCTCCTCAACTCGTGGGTATATAAATCGTGCATTCGCTTGCTTTCTCACTTCCCGAAGTACCACTCTTTCCTTCGCAGGCACCTTGACTCTTCATAATGAAGACGAATTTTAATTGCGCTTGATGGATCTCGCTTTCCAGTTGAGCTCGCTGCTGGAGTAGAGCGCATTTGGAGCTGTAATTCTTGGCTTCTCAGTATTCCAGGAAAAGTTAGTCTCAAAAATAAGTCGCGAAAGCATTGCCTCTTTTAACAATTTAAGATTGGCGCCATTGAGTGATAGAGTTCGAAAGAACAGACCTTGTTAAGTTTTGAAGGGATGAACCCCCAGATCGTTACTTTCTGCCTACACATCTTTCCAGGCAATTAAGTGCAGGCTTTAGTCGAAGTGAATTTTCCTATGACATGTATAACTAAGTCATCGGCGTACACAACAACACCAATGGCTTTCGATGCAGTGAGGAGCATAAATTAATTTACCACACTCTTTCATAAAAGACAAGCTACAATTCCACCCATAGGAGTAGCTATTTTCGTTAATTCAGCGTTACCAAATGACGCACGCTTCTACCACTGAACCTATTGTCGATCCAGAGAATAATCAAGGGTCCCATTATGTGACTTTTTTGATACGTCTATTTATGGGTTGAATAAATAATTTATTCTAGGCTATGCTGGGTAGCTTTCCCTCACAGTATTTAAGTTTGCTTAAGCTATGTAAATAAAGTGGCAATTACAATAACTTCAGTTATCCTTGAGCTTAAACAATACCAGCTATCGCACGCAATTGCTTTCCACATTGACTCAATGCCAATCAAAAGAGCAATCAGTCAGACCAGACCATACCATACTACCGAGATGCCAATTTAACACCGAACACTCAATAAATAATAATATTAAATATTAAGTGACCGAGAGAAAATTGCATTTACAAGCCACTTACTCGTTCGTATGTACGAGCGTAAAGAGTCAATCGCAGAATTACCATTTTATGCCGTGCCAACAATCGACGACCGGCTTATAAGGACAAATAAGCGCAAGTGGTAACGTGAAAGCCAAATAGTGAGTGCGTGCGCGTGTTGAAGTAAATGTGTAAATATTCTCATGAAGGTTTGTGAACAAAATAGCATTGGCAATCAACGCCGAACAGGTCAACTAAAATTGGCTGAAATTTTAATCAAATGAGGGGCAAGCAATCCCAAGTGCTGCGGCTTTTTGCGTGCGAATTGCGTGCAACTACAGGAAAAAAAAAGTTCAGTGCAAGCGTGACGATTATTTATTGCTATTATATATGTATGTATGTGTGGGCCATAATGTAAATATGCGTGATAATTTCTAGCAGTGTTAGGAAAAATATTATTTACTAAATACTGATTACTAGATACAAAAGTATTTAGGTATTAACACACGTTGTATTAAATAACCAAGTAAGTACTTAAGTCGTTTGGGTCTCACAAAATACCGAGTAGATAATATTTACATACTGTATGTATGCTACCGTGTACTCAGATACTTGATATTTGTGGCTTCACTTAATACTGTAAGCAAGCTCCGAAATCACGAAAAGCCCGGTAGGCCCGCCACATCTTGAAAAATATATAACACGAATAGTACCGAAAAAAAATCTTGAAAAAATAACGAAAATTTGCAAAGTTCCTAAAATAATACTGAAGAGTAAAACATGAAGAATCTGGAAAAAATCTTTCGAAGGATACAAAGAATCTCTTAAAATGTTTCGAGAAATCCCGAATCAATAAGAATAAAAACAAAAATTATCGATTATAATAATAATTGTTTCTCTTCCTGACCAGTTTAGTATTTAGAAATCTACTAAATACATGCCTTAGTACTGATATTTTGCAGCTCCTAAATACTTCGATTATATTTTTTAAGTATTTAGCAACTGCTACAAACCTAAGGTTTTTTAACCTATGTACTTAGTCGTCTCTAATTCTCAATATATGGGTACTTGGTATCCAAACAAATACTTTGAACACGAAATTATCTAGGCGCAAATGGCTGAAATAAAATCCACTTCCGCAAAAAGTTATACTGTATGTACATACTTTAGGGTGGTGCTTAAAATATCAACATGTAAATTTTTTTTGGGCACCCCTTTATTTTGCCACAAAATAATGACGTCCACAAAAATTAGTTAAGTACGAAATATTCTTCTTTGGAAGTAAACACGCCGATTAGTGCATAAACCCAAGCGAGCCATTGCCGTATGGCAGCTAAATGGAATAATATGCAAGAGTTTTTTATGTTTTTTAGTGTTTCTGAATTATTTCTTTTGCGGTTTTTGATATTCCTTTGAGAATTTCTGTGCATCTTCATACAAATTTTTAATTTGAAATAAATTAAAATTGTTGTTTAATTCAAAGGTAATTTTATGTGCTAACAACACTCGAAAATAACGAATAAATATTTCATTTACCACAGAAACCCGCTAAATAATTTGAAATTAACAATTAAAATTAAAAAAAAAAAATATTTTCAATTAAAAAACCCCTATTTCTTAATTTCGCATTTTTCTCAGTTTTCTCTAAACCACACTTTTGGCACTTGACAGATTTCTCAAATAATCTTCAATTTTTTTTAACAGGTTTATTTTTTTCAAACATTGATAGCGACCGCTAAAATTATTTTTTTTGTAATATTGAAATTTTGGGGTAAGCAATTATTTTGTACATATAAAAAAATAAAAGGGGTCTCATGCAAAATATAGAATTTTTAATTTTTTAGGGACCACCCTAATGTGCATACATACCTTGTTTTAATTTTTCAAACTATAAAATTTTCCAATTTACTAATTACTTTTTACGCTAAATTTCAATTGCAGGTGCCGGGCCCCAATAGCGTCACTCGACTGCATGGAGGAGTTCAGTGGTACGGGAGGTCATCTTGATTTCGGTATCAAATTTCTCACTACCAATTTCTGCCGCTTGTACTCGTGTTCAAATGATTAGTGTTCTCATTTTGTTCTCATACTATTTTCGTGTGTGTGTGTGTGTAAACGTATTTGTTCAATTAAGTCAAGTATTTACTTTTCAAATACTAGCAACAATTAATAAGTTTTTGTGGTAATTAATTACCGAGTATTTTCTTGGTTTTTATAGTGTGAAAAGAGTATTTGAGAAATTGTTGTTGCTTTATTTGTTTATGTACATAAAGTATGTTTGTTGTTTTCTCAAATAGTAACTCATAAGCTCATTCATTCATCATTACATTCATTAATCAATTAATCAGTATTGTTGTTGTTTAAATAGATTTCATTTGTTGTAAATGTCTATAAATCCAAACACCGAAAATGTAGCGCAACACTAGGTAAAGTTATCTATCAAAAACATGCAATTAATACGAAATTCATGTCCTGCCAATTGAGGTTGTGGATTTTTTTTGTTCATTAGTTTGGAATTCTGTGCAGCACGCACACATGAAAAATGAAAATATGTCAAAATGTCCAAAATGTCAACTTACACTCAATTCAATCTACAAGGCTGAGTATCGTTTTTGTAATTGCTTAATTAAAGTTTGCTTCCACACCTACTTCATAAATATGCATCCATGTAAACAAAAAATACTATACTCCTATGCCGTGCACAAATTTCCCTACAACAAATTAAATATTTTAGTAAAAAATCAAAAAAAAAAACACAAAAATAAAACCTTTGCACGCCACTGTACTCGCTGCTCGCAATTGGTCGTTAACTCATTCGTTTTGCACGTCAATGTCGCTTAGTTTAATTAATTAATTCTCCTTTGTTTGACCTTATTCGCTAATATTCTCTTCCCGCTTCTCTTGATGTGGGTGCGCGCGCTCTTTGAAGGCCGTTCGATAAGTTTGGGCTCGAATCCGGCACTACCGTTACGCCATGGCTCCACGCCGACGCCGGGCTTGCGCTACAAGAATCTTGGCAAGAGCGGCTTGCGCGTCTCCAACGTCGGTCTGGGTACGTGGCCGGTCTTTTCGCCCGGAGTTAGTGACGAACAAGCCGAAGCCATATTGCGTTTGGCCATCGAGAGTGGCATCAATTTGTTTGATATCTCAGAGGCGCATTCAGAGACGGAAATTGGAAAGATTTTGCAGCGCACCGGCTGGAAGAGGACCGCATATGTGATTACCACAAAAGTTTACTGGAGCACCAAGTGAGTAAAAGCAATAAATACCCATACATACATACCAGGGACGGTAATCATTATGAGTAAAATAATTTAAATCAGCATTTAATCGTTATTTTATGAGTTTTATTTTTTTCGCTCTAAATAATAATTATTATTGATTTTTATTTTTTTTGCTCAACTGAAATGATTATTAATCGATTTTTATTTTTTCGATCACAAATAATGATTATTTTATGATTTTTATTTTTTCGCTCAGAGATAACAATTATTATTGAGTTTTATTTTTCCGCTTACAAATAATAACTATTTCTAAAATTGAAAAAGCTTTTTAGACGCAACTTACTGAAATTTTTACCTGAAAATTTTAAGACTTATTCCTTTAATAAATGTGTCGCTACCTCTGAAAATGATACGTCGGAAATCGCGCTGGCTAGCTTTTGATTTGAGAGAAAAATTAAAACTCAATCTTTATTGGTTAAATTTGAAAAATAAAAATCAAAATTACAGTGGGACGTTTGAAAAAAAAATACGTGGGTATAAATAAAATTGTTTTACGACGATTACAGCTTGTTGATTTTTTTTTTTTGGTTAAAATTAAAAAAAAAATAATGATTATTTTCCGTCTCTGATACGTATATACATATATAAATATTTTTAAATGAGATTTTAATTAAAAGCAAATGTATTTAGACTGTCAAAATATACAAATATTAAGCCGATTTTTCACTAGGCATTGAAATGACAAAAAGTTGATGCCATTTAAAATATTCCAGGTTGAAACAGACATAATGATTATTTTTATTAATGCAATGGTACGACTATATTTTAGTACCCAACATTGTTATTTAAAATTTCCTTATTTAATACCTAGTGGAAATTCAGCATAATGCTTAATTTTCACTAGGCATTTAAATAGAAAAAAATACGAAGACAGTTTCCCCACTAAACAAATCGTGTGTGGAAACAGACTCAATGGGTAGGTTCAGAAGGCGCAGCAGTTGAGCGCAACAGTTGCTGAAAATATCAGTGATCGTTATGCGTCTTCTGACCGGCTTGATGCATTAGCTGTCAAATTCAACTCTCAACAACATGTTGTTTCTAATGATCAGAAAAATATTACAATCATCTAACACGCAACTGTTCAGTTGATCAGAAGTACACAACAACGCGTTCAGAAGGTGTAATGGCAACAGTTACTGAGCTGTTGCGCCTTCTGAACGTGCCCAATGACATTTATTTATAACGCAATGAGTGTCATTTTTAATACCTGAATTTGTCATTAAAAAATGTTTGTCATTTAATGCCTAGTGGAAGTAAGGTGCTAGAAGTGATTTTATAGAGTTTTCCGCTTCGTAAGCTCGCATTTAAGACTGCCTGACCCAGCTGCCATTTACGTCGGTAGCCGCTATCTAACTGCTGGACTCCTTTTTAAAGTACATAGATGATATCAGTGCGGTATAGAAAATTATTTGGGTGCATACACAACCACCATAGAGTTAATTATTACGCGACCTGCAATTGGGGGATGCTCAGAGAAGAGTAGGGAGAGAAAACTAAGAATAGGGAGAGAGAGAGCTTGAAATGGTGGCAGGCAGAATTGCAACCCAAATTTTTGACCTGGCCTACTTCATGCAAGGACGGACATAAAAACTTGAAAACACGCGCCTAAACTATACCTCAAATATGGAAGAAACACTTTTAAAGCATTTTAAGGGCGACATCGATGGCGAGTTTGATGCAGAAGGACCCAGGCCATGATATAGAGACGAAGTCTACGTCCCTTCACTCGAGATGAGGAGCATATCGTATGTACCCTGTCCAAACTGTTAAGAACTAAATTTTCACACTGTCGTATATGTAGAAAATTACCCTACATAATTAAGTTTGTAAATACTGTTATGGTAAAGCAAAAGGCCTTATGGAGAAACTTTTGTAATGACATGGAATCTGTATCATAAGGCTCAAAGCTCAGAAAAGTACTGAGTTCACCTAGTTTACCGCGGTATGCTTACCAAGATCCGATGGGACGTGGATAGAAATGGATGGTGAGGAATCCTTGGATCTTCTTCTATGCACACAATCAGGCACTGAATAGGTCAATCATGGGAACAAAGGCAGTCCTTTGATCTCCATAAGAAGAAATGGACCTCTCATACAAACCACAAAGACTTTGGACCTATAAGTCTACTATCAATCCAAGACCTAGATATTGCAGTGGCTGATTGAATCTCATTACAGAGAATCAGTAGGGGGAGTCCACTGACACAGCATTGAACGAAAGCGTGCCACACATTGAGCAAGTTTTAATGATAAAGGAGTACACCCTGATGGCGATAATGGACATTGAGACATCAAGGGTACTTCCAACAATATTACGGCTACGGCACCACATCGGCTCTAGAGAGTCTCGGCTTCGACTTACAGCCTTGTACGACATCTATTAATATGCTGAGCATATGCGTTAGCAGAAATCCGAAGAGCGGTTTCCTGTCTCACCTTAAAAGGGTATTGGTGATTAATGAACTGCCACAACCGCTGCAAGAAGAGAGATGCTCTAAGGTCATTGCGTATGCGGCCGACTTTGTGGTGATTGTGAAAGATGGAGTCTGAGAGTAAATCCAGACAAAATTAACCTGGTGCTTTTCGAAAGGAAGCACTAGATTCTCTCTTTCCAGCTCGCTGTCATAGACAATTCGGCGCTGGAGCTAAGGTAATCCATGAAATACTTAGACATACTATTGGAGAAAAAGCCAGCACCCATGCATAACTCCTTAAAAGGCAGTGGGAGTTCTAATCAACAATTCGCTGGGGCAACGCTTCGGTGCTGCGTGAATTAACCGACTGAGGAGTCACTTGCAGTGACCACATCGCACTTCTAAATTATATCAACTTAACATGCGCAGAATACTGTCTATCAAGTCTAAGTCACTGTAGGAAATTGATCACTCCACTTTTACGCTGATTGTTCAGTACTAGAGAATAGGGTAAAAGTCCACCTCTTCTCAGCACAATTTATGCTGAATAAACACGTTTCGCTGAGGTTCCTGCAATGCAGGAGTTACTTAGACCTCTTCAATTTCACTTGGTATGGGTTCTAGAGCGGAGGAACATACCAGGCAATGAGAAGACAGACGAACTTGCGATTTCGTCGCCTTGGAAGGGCTTTGTATGCTGCTCGCTACCTGCAAACTCATTCCAACGGATCTCCCTCTTAAAAAAGCAAGTGGACAATGCACAAAACTCACCATTTGTAGAAAGGCAAAACTCATGCGGCCAGAATGGAAGAACTCTTCAACCTGAGCAGAACACAGCAGAACAGGCTATATTGCTATCGGAAGACACGCGGGTAGGTAATGATGTGCGCAGAAATGAATAAGAGCCAGAAACCTTGCGGCACTCTGTAGAAGAAGAGGAATTATTTGAGGACTACATCGACATACATATGTAGCTAAAGTATGAATACGACAAGTATTAGGTTTTGCAGACTTCACAATATGGTTTGAGTAGAAGGGTTTCACGGTCCGGGCCTAAGTGTGCTGGTGTGGTCACTGGCACGAAAACTTTGCGGCAATTCAGTAAAACCCCCCTACTTATACTGATATTGTAAGGAATCAATACGAAGGTAGGCCAAATAAGGAAAATACATATATGTGTTTTTTGTATTTTGGGAGAGTATGGGTCGGGTGTGCTATTATGTCTCTCAGCGTAAATTCAAAGTTAACAGAGTCAGGTCAAAGCTTCTACTATGAATATCAGCACTTGTGGTTTTGTGAACCTAAGAAGCTACTTCGATCGCATTGTTCGAAGGCCTTTGAAACTGTACACGTCCAAGATTTCATTGAATACTCACTGAGCTGCGAAAAGTTCGTGGTGTAGGAATAACCCGTAGATGATCAAAAGCCAGCCTAGTCAGATCACCACGCAGACAACCTGATAGAAAAAAAGAGTATTCCGGAGAAACCGAAATACTTACAAGAATATTTTTTGGTCCTAATTTCAAGCAATAAGATTTTTTCACTTTCTTCCAAATTTTCTATCGCCTTATATTTTAACTCTCCTCCGTAGATCCGAAGAACGTGGCCTTTCACGCAAGCACATTATCGAATGTGTTAAGGCGAGTTTGCAACGTTTGCAATTACAATATATAGACATTGTGATTATACATAAGGCTGACGCAATGTGTCCCATGGAAGGTAAGAAAATGTACATTGAAAATTATGTTGAAGAAAATTTTTGTTATTCACGCCTATCCACCTCTCATTATTACACACTTGCGCACAGAAGTGGTACGTGCCATGAATTATGTCATTCAGCAAGGTTGGGCAATGTATTGGGGCACAGCACGTTGGTCGCAAGTCGAAATTATGGAAGCCTACACAAACTGCCGTCAGTTCAACTGTATTACGCCCATTGTCGAGCAATCCGAGTATCACATGTTTTGCCGCGAGAAATGTGAACTGTATTTACCCGAAATGTATAATAAGATTGGTGTGGGCCTAATGGCTTGGGGACCGCTATCGATGGCATTGGCCGATACGCAAAATGGAGAGAAACTCTTCTTGCCAAAGGGATCATTCAAGACGAAGAGCCAAAGTTATTCATGGACCGAGGATGAAATAAACCGAAATGTAAGTTAAAAAAAATTTAGGATATAATATTACGCCTAAATATGGATATATTTTTCAAGAGCTTTTCTTATTAAATATGGGAAATTACTTTAAACTTCATACTTTCAGGCGGCCTTATCGCCACAAGGCAGTTGGGGTAAAGATCGCGTTGACGAGGGACGTCGGCATTGTGATCGTTTGCGCGATTTAGCAGCGCTGGCCGAAAAATTGGGTTGCAGTCCAACACAGCTCTCCATTGCTTGGTCGCTGAAGCATGAGCCGGTGCAGTGTTTGCTTTTGGGCGCAACTTCGGCCGAACAATTGCATCAGAGTTTGCAATCCTTGCAGGTGAGTTACACAAAATTTTTTTAGCTAAATAAGGGGTGTGCCTAAAAGTATGCGACTATCATTAATGGGCACGTCTTTTTTTAATGCAGATATTAGGGTTTCCTGTTGGATATTAAAAAAAAAACTTTTAAATTTCGGAGCCTCTGGACAAAAAAAATTGCAGGAATTTCTAGAATTCCACTGCTTGAGTTAATTATAAATATGTACATTAGACCGTACCGGAAAAAAGTTCACCGTGCTCCATTAAGACCAGAGAAATTTCGAAAAACAAATTTGTTTGCTGAAAATATTTTTCGGCAAAGCTTCGGCATTTTCAGTCGGATCTTAAAGTAGGATATATTTCCAAAGTTCATTGACCTCAAGTACGCCTTTATAGTACTTACCCACCATTAAAAAAAAACAAATTTTTGTTGCCGAATGTAGATGCCAAAGAAAACGGTAAAATGGCCAAATTTTTTTTTTTTTTTAACTGCATTGCGAAATTACTTAAGACTACTTCAAACTTTTTTTGTTTACTTGTAAAGTGGTACGATCTAATGTACATATAGGCATACAGAAATATACAAATATACTTATTTATGTACAATATTTATTTCAGTTTCTCTCACACAACTATGTATTTGTTCTCTTTTCCTATACCTCCAGCTACTGCCACGCCTCTCAACCAGTGTTATGATGGAGTTAGAGCGCATATTAGAGAATAAACCGGTGCGGCCGCCAATGATATCGACACTTGCACTTCGGTGACAATCAGCCTGCCCTCAGGGGCCACCTAGCCTCAGTGGCGGTGGCCCTTGCGGGGCAGAGTCACCGAAAAATGAGGAGGAGGCGTTCTGTGAGGAGGCGGATGCGAAGGATGCGTCGAAGCAGGGTTTCTGTGTTATTCAGTGACAAAAGGGGTCCTTAGATAACGATAATAAATTTTTGAAAGCGATTAGTAGTAAAACTAGTTTAAGTAGTACAACAATGACAACAACAATAAGCAAGCATGATTTACAACTGCAGCAGCAGTTGCAGCAACAACAGCAGCACCAACAACAACAACAACAACAACTATTACTACTACATCAGCCTGAGCATACTCAGCAGCAGCTGCATGTCCATTACACAGACCGAGAACAACAACAACAACAACAGCAACCACATATACAAACACAACAACAATTGCGTTCTTCAATTTTATCAAAACAACCTACGACCAATAAAAGTTTGTTATTCAATGATACCGTTAATAGTAGCTTAGTCGATAACACCATAAATATTTACGATTTACACGCTGCGACGGCAGCACCAGCAAACACCAGAACAACAACAACAACAGCAATAACTACTACTCGCTTAGATAGTGCAACCGCAATTATACAAATAGATTCGCTTAACAACAACACAACTAGCTTAAGTGCCACCACAACCGCCATAACAACCGCCACAACACCGACCAACAACAACGGCACAGTGTTGATCGCAAGCGATGCGACCGAGGCGGAGCCTAAGGTGCAAAAGCGCCGTTCATTGTTAAATTTTAAGTCTTTCGACTTTCACATCAAGTCATTGTACTCGGGCTTGCGCAACGGCAACAAACATTCGCACTCGCAATCGTCTTCGTTGGGCGGTGGTGGTGACGGCAGTGGCGGTAGCAGAAGCGGCGGTCCTGGCGTCGGCGATGGCACTACTGATAATGCCAACGGCAGCGGATTGCTAGCCGACACACCACCCGGTAGCAGAGGCGGCGGCACCGCCATCAATAATCGTATGCCACCCTATCTCAAGATCGAATCGGTCGATGCTGAGGAAGCGGAAAATCTGCTGCTCGATTATCCACAATCGCCGTACTCGTCGCGTCGCAATAGCTCACACGAAGATGATAATCGCTCCAGTTCGCAGCTGTTGCACATCAATCGCTACGATATGTGTTCGCGTTCGCAGGCCAGTTCGTCGTCGCCGTACTACCTGTCGCCGTACGCCATCGATTCGGGCAACATGCGACGCTCCTCCACGTCGGACATTATGTCGTGCAAGCGCAGCGGTACGTCCAGCGCGAGCGATAGCCGCCGACCGAGCACAAGCGATCTGTTGCGGAAAGCGCGTGAACGGCGCGGTAGCGAGGCGCGAATGGGTCGCAGCGTTTCGCACAGTGGACTGCCGCGGGGCGGACCGCGATTAGGGTCGAGTGGCGGCGGCGGCGGTGGACGGCGCACGAGTATGGCATTTTAAGAAAATTGTTTAGTGAAAAGAATGTAAAGTAAAGCGTAAAAGTAAAAAGAATGAAGGAGAACTGTTTGTTGTATGCCCGCTCACAAGCGAGGTGGATCTAAACGAGTGACATACATACATATGTATGTATGTATATGAATTGTTGATGCTCTACATCGTTATGCAATTAAGTGCTTATGAATTTTTAAAATTTAATTAGAAAGTTTAAAATTATCGAAACAAATAACTAGTCAAGTATTTATAATTATAGCTTAAATATTTATTAAATACAAATTGAAGCTTAAATTAAATAAAATAATAACAGAAATTTAATTAATAAAGCCTTAAAAAATTAAAAATAATTATAAAATGTTAAAAAAATAATAAAATATTCAAAAAAAAAAATAGTATGGAAAAATTTTCATTGAAACTGTTGATAACCAAAGCTGTTTTATAATCCTCGAAACAACTTGTATATTCTGAAACAATTTTTATAACTACCGGTCGAGCCAAGTAGCGCTCGAACGCTCGTTGTTTTGTTTTTGTTTTAATTACATAAATACTTAAAAATCTCTGGTACTTAACAGCACGTTCGAAATATTGAGTATTTTCATCAAAAATTTCCAAATATTTTATAATATGGGCCCATGAATGCAGTCATTTTATACAGCATGCCTTTAAAAAAAAAAAGGTGAAGTTTACACTATGGAACAAAAATTAATGCTTAACCTTACTTTTTACACTCTTAAGTCTGTAATTTTAAATGTTATGAAGCGAATCAAATAAAGGTTTTCGTCTATATTTGAGGTTCGATTTCGTAAAAAATTGTGTTCGACACATGAAGGAAATACCAGGTTCTAAGAAGATAACCTCAAAATGTACATACATATGTATATAATACCTAAGTGTACACTTTTGCGGCTTCCAGTATTTTAAAGAGTGGAGGCTATTTTACTTTAAACACTTTTAAAAAATTTTGCACCTATTACGTTAATTCCCCTTAAATTTTATATGGTTTACGACGTAAGAGAGCCGTAAATAGCAAAGGTTCGAATTAGACGATTTTTTTACTTTTAAGGTCAATAGACCTATCACCGCGCGTTGGCTAAAGCGATCGCGATACTCTGTATGTGTCCAGCTTAGCCCGCATTTTGTAGGAGTGTCAATGAGGGTTATAGCATGGACAGACGTCAATGTTAATCCGGTTTAACGGGGAAGTTGATATATTGAAAATTATGTCCTGACAGATAGCAGTAATGCGGATAGAGGATCGAACCACGCACTATCGGAACTGTAGTACGCAACTCTCACCACTCGGCTACCGCGGACGTCAAGTACGATTGCTTTGTTTGTTTACTTGTACAATTGGAAAGTTTTGTCATCGAAAATTGCGCTGATTTCTATTCATTTTAAGGATTGGTAGCTGCACTTAATACGCATCAACTGCCGTCAATTCCCGAGATAATTCCGAATGAGTAGCCTGTATCTTTTCAGATTGTACCCTACTAGTAAATTTGGCTAAGACCTGTGGTGTTACGCCAGTGCAGTTGCCTTAGTTTGGTGTCTTCCTTTCTGAGCGCTTCCTTTATAATGTTGGGACCTACTGAAAGGAAGGCTCAGGTTCTATGGGGCCAGGCAGCCGCCAATCTGGCTAACTGATCTGATAGCAATTGCATAGCATTATTCTCAGCCAGGGCATTAAGTTTCTCTAAGCACTCTACAACCACTGAAGATTTGGCCTCGAAGATTGAGAGAGTCTTGAGTGTTGCCAGACTATCATTGCTTCAATCTAGAGTCATATACACTTGCTCCAATAGCCTCACGAGTCTTAAACCCGCCATTAACCTATCTCTCCACATACATAGCAGTGCTCCCGGTCGACTTGCTGTAGGTATCAAGCTTAAGAGTTTCTTTTAAAAACTACTACCCTATGCATATCATATCTGAGGAGCAGAAGCCGAGCTTTCCCAGTTCCTAGACGATAAGACCTTACCTTTTCCAAAGTTCTCTCTCGCAAAATTCAGGAGAGCTCGTATGCCTGCACACAGCTCCCCAAGTCCTGTACTCTTTTCGCACCATTACAAATTTGTGCTTATAGCTGCAGTGTCTCTGACGCCGCATATTTATGTAAGTCGGAGAACAATGAGAATATATTAGTCCATGTCGTAATCATATCCTTCTAAGGAAACATTACATTTACATAAAATACTACTCTAAATCCTATGTTTTCGGTAGGTAGTAACTGCACTTATCGCATCCTAAAACAAAAACAGTCACAACTTAAAAACTTCCAAATATTCCGTAGATGCAAAAAAAAATGTAGATGCTGCGCAAGCGTTGCTGTTTTTGATGTAGAATGCGATATGTAGTCCTCGAGGGTGTTACCAGCTTGGGTTGTTGTTATTATTTACATTTTTTTCCAACTTTTAATTTTATGAGACTATTTGACTTCCCCAACTACTTGCTTTTGGGATATCTAAAGAAAGGATCAGAAACGATTTAGCGGTAGGTATATTTGAGGACGATGAAGAGTTATCTGAAAAGCTATGGAAATAGTTTCTTCGTCACGTTTAGTTCAACATGTAGAGCATTAAAGCGAGGAGCGGTAACGCCTCTGGAGCCATGGGAAAAGTGGTAAGGCATGCCATGCGTGATAAAGATCTAACGTGTTTCTTATGAGTTTTAGATCCAATTACTGTTTAATATGTAATCAACATTCTAATGTATTCAAAAAGTCCAAAAAATTTCATATTAAATCACATACATTTCTCGATACTAGGTAATGCAAAATTGAATTTCCTTGAATTTCACTTTTCCTAGGACATCGCTCTGGGGAAACAAATGCGTTTTCGAATGTGAAGAGGGTTGTTTTACTGATAATTTTTTCGATTACTATACATTACATTTTCCCACTGGGTATGTAAGTACAATAGACTTGAAGAACCCCAAAGACCGTTGCCTTTCTAATTTTTGGAATTTGGGTTCGCCAATTACAAATACTACAGGAAGAAACCGTTTGAAAAAAAAATCAACAGTCCCAATTTCACGTATTCAAAAAAAAACGTATTATTTTTTAAGGCTCTATTCCCACGCCAATGGCAAAAGTTCAACGCATACCAATTCATTTAACTACTGCGCTTAAAACTTCCACATCTAACACAAACATTGTTTCGTCATTGTCACGTACTTCACGTGTCATAACAATAACAAAAACGTTTTGAATTACGTTTTTGCGACATAGTTTTAGACGCAGCAGTTAAAGTAACAGTCATGCGATGAGTTTGGTCAATGGCATGTGAATAGGGCCATTAGGCGCATTTGTCATGACAATAGTAATGAGGTGATTAAAATGTACAAGTACAAATAAATAAACTTTGTCTTTTTTTAGTCCTTATTTATCCTTATTTATCATTCTTCTATACATACATACATTTATTACTGCTTTAAAGACAATATAAATACCCACATATGTATGTTTGTAAATATAAACAATAACTACTACAAATTTCATAATTATTTCATTGACAAATAAACAACATAAACTCACTAACATACATACCTACTCTTATCAAAACTAT